TTTTTTTTTTTTTTTTTTTTTTTTTTTTTTTGCTTAAAAGAGACTCTTTCTTCTTTTCTCTTCACAACTACTTGCCCGAGGGCCAATTTTAGGCCCAGGCAAAACTGCCTTCTTCTTGGAAGTCAATGCAGTGGCAGGAAGAGGCTTCATTATTTCATTTAATATTCATGCAGCACATTTATCTGCTCTATAGCTAAAAGCATCTGGAGACATAATATGGTCCCTAATCAGCCCCTTTATTAATTCACTAGTGCAAATGGAGAACAGAGATGTGAAAGGACTTTTCAGCCCTTTGCCCAGGCAGGGGCGGCGGGCTGAGGAGCCTTGGCACTGGGTTAGTGCAAACTCAGTCTTGGAAAGTGTGCTCTATGCAATGCTCAGCTTTCCTCTGAGCCAGGAAGGAACTCTGCATGACCTCAGGTGTTTATGTCGGCAAGAAGAGCAGCATCGTTACTAAAGTGAGCACCAGGAGTCTGGCTGGAGCTCAGCCAGGAGGAATCTAGAGGGCCTCTCTTGACCCAAAGAAGAAAAGCGTGTCTGGGTGACCCAGGACCCACATGGGGAGAGCTGAGAGAGCTCGGGGTTGGCAAGTCAGGGAAAGTTTCATTTTTCTTGTTGACTACATTCTCTTTCCCTCTTTTTCCTCCTCTGCCTCTTCTCCTCCCCTTACTCCGCTTTTCTCTCTCTTCTTCACTTGCTCCCCAACTCCTCCTTTTCCTCTTCCTCCTCCTGTTCCTCCTGGTCTAAAGCTCATGTTCTGAAGAAGACAGCCTCCTGGACCAATCCCATCTCCAGCTTCCCTCTGCAAACACCCATCTCTACTGCAAGGGGTGCTGCCCCCTCCTCCTTTGCTTCTGGAAGACTCCAGATCATCTATAATTTGGTGCACTGAGATGCAAATTTAGTTCAAAGCTACTTTATTTATTACAATTAAAAACACACCACTTTTGGGAGATGGATTGCTATAGCTTAAAATACAACAAAACCTGATGTCTCAATCTTTAGTATGATATTTTCAATAGAGTTATTTTTATTTGAAAGTATGTTTTAGGTTGCAGTAGCCTATCTTCACCTTACTATTTGCCAGCTGTTTTCTGTCCCTGCATTAATCAATCAATTAATTAACTAAGCAAATACTTAGCAAGCATGTGTTTTGGGCATCCTTATATGCTAGGCCCTGGGGACTTAACAGGATACAAAAGAGTATGGTTTCTATCTTTGTGAGCTTAGGTCTAACATGAAGGATGGGAGTTAAAGGTGATATCAGCGTGGAATCTTCCTCTCTCCTCACCTGGCGAGGCCTGTGATACCAGTACACTTACTAATGACTCCTTCAGTAAAAATGACTTATAGTCGCCCTGCCTCCCACTGGATGGTGAAGCCATGGGAGGAAAGAGGTGATTGTATTTTATTTATCTTTACCCCATGCCAGTCCTCTGGACAACTACAATAGCTGTTGTTGAGCTAAGACTTCAAAGCCACCGCTATGAAATGCCAGCTAAGTGAGAAACAGTGCAACACAGTGATCACAAACCAAAACAGTATGGTGAGCCTGGGTTCCAATCTTGGCTTTGCCACTTAGGTGGTAAGTGATCCTGGGCACTCTTGGTGTCTCTGAATCTCAGTTTTGCTCATTTATAAAATGAAAGCTAATAATTCCTATCCCATGGGTTTGGTGTAAGAGATAAATAATAATTAAACAGTATATACTGAAACTTCTTCACATTTGTGGCAACAATTTAGAAAAACCTGTAGAGATTAATGAGATGGGTTTTGGCCCTAGAACTAAGTAGCTAGTGGAGAAGGCAGACCTGAAGATAGGATTATACTGAAGGTTTCAGGCTAACAGGATTGTGCTGAGGGTTTCAGGCTATGATGGGTGTTTCTAAGTTTTGCATTGAGGAAGGAATGACATTTATCTGGGTAAGGAAGGGGGTTGAAAAAATCTTGGAAAGTAGAAGTGATGTTTGAATTGACTATTAAATGAGTGTTAGATTGGGGCCGGCCCGGTGGCGCACTGCTACTGTGCGCCGCTTGGGAGTGCAGCGGCGCTCCCGCCGAGGGTTCGGATCCCACATACAGACCGGCCGCTCACTGGCTGAGCGAGGTGCGGGTGCAACACGGAGGGTTGCGATCCCATTGCCGGTACCGGTCCGGTATGGGCGCGACACTGAGGGTTGCGATCCATTGCTGGTCACGAAAAAAAGACAAAAAGGAAAAAAAAAATGAGTGTTAGATTTTCAGCTAGGCTTGGAGTGGAGGAAGAGAGGATGGAGTGGGGTAGGGATGGCATCATTTCTCGGTGGCAAGAGCAGCGTGAAGTAGCCAGGTGGGATGCTGGCTTGTAAGTAGTTAGGTGGTGCTGACAGTAGGGGTCAGGGGGCTAGAGATTAATGAGATGGGTTTTGGCCCTAGAACTAAGTAGCTAGTGGAGAAGGCAGACCTGAAGATAGGATTATACTGAAGGTTTCAGGCTAACAGGATTGTGCTGAGGGTTTCAGGCTATGATGGGTGTTTCTAAGTTTTGCATTGAGGAAGGAATGACATTTATCTGGGTAAGGAAGGGGGTTGAAAAAATCTTGGAAAGTAGAAGTGATGTTTGAATTGACTATTAAATGAGTGTTAGATTGGGGCCGGCCCGGTGGTGCACTGCTACTGTGCGCCACTTGGGAGTGCAGCGGCGCTCCCGCCGAGGGTTCGGATCCCACATACAGACCGGCCGCTCACTGGCTGAGCGAGGTGCGGGTGCAACAC